GCCAGGTACTGTAGCACACGTCTCTAATCCCAGCTCCTTGGGAGGCTGAGGCAGGAGGATCACAAGTTCAAGGCCAGCCTTGGCAACTTAGTAAGACTTTGTCTCAAAATAAGAAATGAAAGAGCTGGAGATGTAGATCAGTGGAAAAGCACCCCTGAGTTCCATCCCCAGTACTGCAAAAAGAAAGGCTCTTTAGGTAAACATGACTAAAATGTCCTTAAAGCATTTTAGAGCAAGTAAAATTGAAAACTCTGCCCACAAGCTGAGTGAGGTGGCACACTCACTGGTAATCCCAGCCACTCAGGGGGCTGAGGCAGGAGGATCTCAAGTTCAAAGCCAGCTTCAGCAAAAGTGAGGTGCTAAGCCACTCAGTGAGACTCTGTCTCTAAATAAAATACAAAATAGGGCTGGCAATGTGACTCAGTGGTTGAGTACCCCTGAGTTCAATCCCTGGTACCAAAAAAAAAGAAAAAAAAACCCTCTGCCCACAAGATATGACATGATTCACAAAATACTCCATGATAGATTATTTTTATAAATATAAAATTCAATTAGAAGTACCATTAGACAAATTAGTTTTAAAAATACCTTTTAATTGCACATTCTAAACTTAAGGAAAATAATTTTTAGGTGAATTGATTTGAGGCAAATTAGCCTTTAATAAACTGGCTTTGGGGCTAGTCGGTCTTTTACTATTCTACATGTGAGGGCATAGGAATAGAATTTGGAAACCATCCTCATGACCTCGGAGTGGACATTGGTCCCGATGCTGGATGGAACTGATATTGACCTGGCCATCACGTGCTGGTGTGTCCTAGCCTCGGGCAGCATCCTGCTGCAAGCAATTTAGTGGCCCTCAGGGCCTCTCAACTCCTTGTACAAGACAAGCCCCTGGGAAGCATTTTAAATCCAAATGCCTGGCCCAGAGATTCTGGTTCAGCCGGTCAGTCAGAAGGGAGGCCACCTCTTATTCAGAGAGAAGGACAAGAGCCCGTTGCAGCCTGGCCCATTATAAATGCAGTGCTTGACTCTCCCGTATAATCCCCGGGGAGGAGGGTGGCATGAGTGTGATTCTGACACGCTGTCCCCACACCGCCCAACTGAGTGGGGCTGACAGTGACCAGCACAAAACACAGAAGAATTCCATGGGGCTGCTGACCACCAGGGTCATGAGGGTTCCAGGGAGGAAAATCCGCAGAAGTGGGTCTCTAGTTGGGCATCAGAGGACAAGTGCAGTTCCGATCCTCAGGCAGGAGCAGGGACGGTGTTCTGGGAAGTCAGAGCAGGTGCAGCAAGCACCATAGAGAAGGGATGATCATGGTGACAGGAGACCCAGCCCGGAGCCTGCCTGGCTGAGAAACCAGAGGGGGCCGGGAGGGGCAGAAGAGGAGACCCCCATAGACCTAGACTGAGTTGCCCTTGGACTTGCATCAGGGGCTGGACCGTGAGGGACCCCAGCATGGCCAGCAGGTGCTTTGGGGAGGCGTCTAGGTGGAGATGGATTACAGGCCTGGGACCTGTATCCACCCAAGAAAAGATGCCATCCCAGGCTGGCATGGTGGTCCAGGGGGCAGAGAACACTGAAGGAATACCCAGGAGAGATAAGATAGGTCGATGAGGGGTGGGCAGAAATTTGGAATGACAGAGGGTGTACAGCTGGTTCCAAATCTCACCTGCAGATCGGCTATGGAGAATGACCTGGTGTTAAGATATTATGGAAATATAAAATAGGCATTGCCCTGTTCACCTGAACCGCACAGGGGCTCCTCAGCGATGCGGTGTTGGGGAGAGATAGGGACTGCCCAGCAAATTTGCAGAAAGCAGCCAGTATCCACCTGATTTTAGTCTTTTTTCTTCATTTCTTCTCTTTTTACCAAATCCATTAAGCCAAAAGGAAAAATGATTCTAAGCGATTCGCCTTCATCCTCGGCCCTTATTTAATTTGTAGCCATGTGTAAGGAAACACCCAGAAAAGAGGTAACAGGCAGCAAAGGAGAAGAGGGGTCTCCGCACGGCCCCGCCCTCTCCTGGAGCAGTGGGAGTGACCTCTCCACCACCCAGGGCCACCTGGTGCCTGCTTCTTGCCCTGTTTTCATAGAACTCCTGGGACCCTGGTGGCCAATTTTCTAATGGTGATGCCAAGTCAGTTTTGCTGTGGAGATAGTGACAAGAAATGCCGTGGTGGGCTGGAGTGTATACAAGAAGCTGTCACTTGTCACGATGGTCAGAGCCCGCTGTCACTACTGGGTAGCAAATTCCACTCTGCCCTCCTGGCTGCACTTCTTCGTGAAGTGCATGAGCACCGACTGCCTTAGAGAACCAGAACCTGCAAATGAAGGATGGTGACTGAGGGGCGTCTGGGGGAACACCTAACACTTCCAGAAAGATTGCACTTGCTGTGCTCGGGCTCAAGGTCCCAGGAGCCGCAGGAGGGCACCTGTGCCCTGCCAGTAACAGGAACTGGCAGAGAAGTGCGCTTGCTGCGTCTCACTCAGTGCTTTGGAACCAACAGCATCTGTCATGTCCCTGCACATGGTTACCTTGTGTCGTTCACATGGGGACCACAGTGAACAGGATGGCCTTTGGGGGCAAGCGAGCAGGAAGCCTTGTGATTATGACTGGTTTGCTTTGGGATGTTAGGCGAGCAATCTCATCAGGTCCTCTGGAACTGTTAGGTTTCTTTGTATGTAGCCATAGGATCAGCCGGTGGGTACCCATCCGCTCGCAGCTGCATGATCCTAAGTTCATGCCCCATCTCCCTCCTGGACGGTCTGTCACAGGGAAAGTGTGGCTTCATCCAGCAGCAGATCATAGTCTCGGCGCCATCTGTAAACTTGGTGTGGGCCTCTTACCGTGTAAGCTGGGTGCTGAACAAGATGGTGAGGGTCCTGTGATAAGTCACACACAGCCACAGAGGCGCGCAGGTGAGGAGACAGGTCTGTAAACCGGAAGTGCTACCTAGTGACCTCAGAATCTGTTTCTTCATCTGGAAAAGTGAGATAATAATGGCGTCTACCTCCCAGGCTGGTCGTGAGGATGAAATGGGTTGGTGTATGAAAAGCATTCAGGACAGAATCTGGCACAGAGTAAACACGGTACAGGTTGAACATCCCTAGTCTGAGAATCCAGAATTCAGGATGCTCCAAAATTCAGCATTTTGGTCCCTACAAGTGACAGTTTCTGGTGGTTCAAAGTGTACTAAGTTATTAAAAAATATTGTGTGAAATCACCTTCAAGGTATGAGTGTGATGAAACATAAATGAGTTTTGTGTTTACACTTGGGTCCCCAAGACACCTCATTATGGATAGGCAGATGCTCCAAAGTGGGGAAGTTGCTGACCTCTGAAGCCCCCTGGTCCCAAGCATTTTGGATAAGGGACTTCATCTGTCTAAGTCTTGGCTGTAATGGTGACTGTCACCATCATTACTGCTGTTACCATCAACACTGGCTCAGCGCACGTCCCTGGTACAGATTAGAAAGTGACATGAAGGTCAAGGAAGGTCAAGAAGACAGGACAGAGAAGCCACTCCACACCAAACAGGGGACAGTGACATACAGAGGCCCGGGCATTTCGGGGCACTCGGGAGTGGTCAGGACTGAGGGTGCTTGCTTGGGGGCGGGATCCCAGGGGGAGGATGGAGCCCTTGAGCCTTCACCTCCAGTTTCTCTGTGGATGGGGAGCAGGAGCTGAGAGGTGGCCAGAGAAGACCGCAGCAGCTGTCCTGAAGGACATGGCTGAGCACAAAGCCCAGAGCCCGTCTGGCTGATTTCCCTGAGGGTGGACGCTGAATTTGTAGGATATAAGTACAGTTCCAGGGACAGTCTGCTCAGGACTTTCCAGATACCATAGGAAGGCTTATTTCCAACTGGGGGACCCAGAGCAGAGTTCACAAAGACTGAGCCTGAAGAGAGGACCCCATAGCACCCAGCCCAGAGAAAGCCTTGGAGGGTGTGGCGGGGAGTCTTAGTCTGTTAACGTGGGCAGACTTGTGCTCTAGGAATGGCATTGGGCAGGACTGTGGAGTCAGAGGCCACACCCAGAACAGACAAGCGGGTGAAGTCCAAGACCTCAGAGATCAAGAGGTGAACCTTGTGGTGTTCCCCGAGGGGATCACAGGTGTGATGTCCAGGCAGCCTGCTCCCCCTGGCCACACCCTCAGGCCATGCCTTTCCCACAGAAGCCTGCAGCCCACAGGGCTCAACCACAGCCCCCTCCAGGGCCAGGTGATCTTCAGGAATGTGGGGGTACAGAGGACTATAGGGTCTGCCCCAGAATGCCCTGGGGGCTGGTCTGACCCCAAGCCCCCCCTAAATGTGGCACATTTCTGGGGAGCTTTGGTGGCACTGTCACGGAATCAACAGTTGGGTTCTGCTCCAAATGCCAGCAATTTCTGAATGGCACATGGCACGGTGACACTCCCTTATATTCCAAGGAGCACAAGTTTTGCTTCACACACAAAATATTGCATGCAGTTACCTTCAGCCCAGAGTGTGAGGGCTACATGAAACATGCACCCCAGGGTCCCACTGTGGATGGAAGTGAGCGAGCCTGCCACCAGGTGCCTGCCCAGGCTCTGTCGCTACTCGCAGTGGGATGGTCATCTCCAGGTGGCAGATGAGGGAGCTACAGTTGGCAATAGTAAAGTCCCTTGGGAATGGACTTGAGCCTCGTCCTGGCTTCTGTCCCTAAGGTGTCAGCTGAAGAGATGTGCTCTTTAATAATGGCAAATCTGTAGACATCGCAGCAGATCCTGGAGGTTTCTGGGACCACCCCTGGGCTTCCATGAGCAGAAGAGACATCCCCAGCCCCTTCCTGCTGCCTTCCTGGGCTCCTTATGAGCAGCTGGTGCACTTTGGGCAGAAAACAAGCTGGTGGGTGCCATCTGAGCAGCCTCAGTTGATGCTTCCTAGCCAGGGACCCCACTTCGGTGTGGCCCCAAGGTGAGTTTCTTCCCGTGTCCCCATCTCACTTCTTTCTCTCACCCTCCTTCTGCCGCAGATCCTGGCGCCCCTGTGAAATTGCCTTGTCTGCCAGTGAAACTGTCGCCTCCGCTACCTCCAAAGAAAGTCATGATCTGTATGCCTGTAGGGGGCCCGGAGCTCTCCCTGGCGACCTACGCAGCCCAGAAGAGCAGCCAGCAGGGCGTGGCCCAGCACCACCACACGGTCCTGCCGTCCCAGATCCAGCACCAGCTGCAGTATGGCAGCCACGGCCAGCACCTCCCCTCCTCCACCGGCACCCTCCCCATGCACCCCTCGGGCTGCAGGATGATAGACGAGCTGAACAAAACGCTGGCCATGACCATGCAGAGGCTGGAAAGGTAATGGGCGAGTGGGAGCAGAAGGAGGGAGGAGGGACAGGGACAGGGACAGGGGCTGGCTGGGGCATGAACCGGGGCTATTCCCTGCTCTGGGGGGAAAAAGGCTCGAAAGTAAAATCAGACCAAAAGCTGAATGTCCAAGAGAGTATGGAAGAAGAAATTTATATTGTCAATCATCAAACTGTAATCACATTTACTGAAAAGACATAGTAACATGCACAGGAACATAGACACCCATGTAATGTTTCTCTAAACATGAACATGAACGTTTTGTCAAAGGATGTACCTGTCATTGTGAATTGAGGTTACCCTGGGACAGAGAAATGGGGAGGAAATAATTTTGTATTTCAGATCTTTTGGAACTGCTTACTTTTATTGTTGTGTATGTTACTTTTGTGATGTTCAAATGCAAATGTAAAGTAGGGAAAGATGAAGCCGGCTGGATGTCGGAGGGAGGCAGGGGGCAGGAAAGGTAGAGAGCCATACCCTTGTCCTTGCCCTTGTTCTTGCTGATGGAGGAACCAGAGTGTTAGAGTTGGTTTAGATGCAGTTGAGCCTCCAATATATGGCAGCCAGAACCTGGAGACCTGCAGAAAAGACCCCCACGGCAGACCTGCGGCAGAGACTCCAATTCCCCCAACTTAGGGAGACCTCTCATCTCTCACTTTGGCTGTGAATCGCTCTTGTGTGCATGCACATTTGTGTGTGTGTGAACGTGCACGTGTGTGTGTTCAGATCCGTTCACCACCTTCCTGCCTTATGCCCAGGAAATGCCTGGGGTTTCTAACATGGTGTCAGGCACGTTGCTGGACCAAGGTGCCTGACATGATGAGGAAACTGTTTCCTTCTGTTGTGAGGGTGTGTCTGAAAGGGACGCTGGATGCACGTCCCAGGGTGGTGACTGCTCTCCACTGGGTCCTACGGAGGGGGACATCGGAAGGGTCAATGGATCTCCAAAGCAGGGAGCCAACGGCAGGATGCTCACACAGGTGGGGGCTCTCGGTGAGGTTTCCTGCCGCCCGGCCAAGAATTGTGTGTTTGGGAAATGATTGCCTCAGAGGGAAGCTGTGGTCTCGAGGAATTCGGACTTGATGACTGTGTTCATACAGGCCCTTCCTGCCAAAAAGGAAAAGCAAAATTTAGTTTGGCACCTTGCCATCATTTTCAAATACTTTAATCATTAATGAGAACAGCAGTAACTTAACGTTGGGGCGGCACCTTTTAACCTACCACACATACACACTGAAGTCATCACCATGGTCATCGTCATCATCGTCATCTAATTACGGCCCCACCTAGGGAGCCTGAGAAAATGGAGAACTAAGGGGGGTGGATTAAGTTCCCTGTGGCCACCTACTCAAAGAATGATCCACAAACGGCCTGGTCCCCATCTGCAACCACCTGAGCAGAGAAATCGAGAACACACTGTTAGATACTTTTATGGCCATTTGACCGTCATGATTTTATGTCTGATGAATCTTGGGATTAAAAAGAGTTTCACTTTTTGAACATTTTTATTACATTTGGCAAACGCATCGGTTTGTGATGGATTGAATATTGAAAGAAGGTACCACATGATCTGGGCAGCTGAGCCAAGGCTGTCTGTGTGCTTCAGGCCACCCCTGGACTCCTGATACCTCCTTCCATGTCCCTCCACTGCCACCCCAGGTCAGGCATAGGCTCCTCCTGGTAGGGCAGCGAGGACATGGGGAATTAGTGAACGCATCACTTCAACAAGAGTGCCCAGGCTCAGAAAGAAAAGCCTTCCTCCCCAAACTAAAGATTGGAGATTCTTTTTTTTTTTTTTTCTGAGCATCTTTGTGATCTCCCAGGAGTCTTAGAAGGATCTGAGAGCAGGACAAGGTCACAGGCCACTTTCCCACGTGGTGAGAGAACTGTCACTATCTAGGAGGTCGCCTTTCCATTCACTAACCTGAAAAAATGCTCCCTGTTACCTGTCCCATGATTTCATCCTGAGCCTACCAAGTTTCACACTGAAGTAAGGGTTTCTCTATTCCTTTGGCAATTTCCAGTCACCCCAAAAATGCTGAAAAAGGAAGAACACCTTGGCAGTCTGTCTGTAGAGATCCTCAGTCCTTCCCACGCTTGGGCTGTCACTGTCCCTGAAATCTCACAGGATGTCACCTGCGGCCCAGACACAAATTAACAGTAATAACATCAGACTTTGGGTCATGCATTTGATAAATGTGATCTTACCCATCGTGGCAACCGACCCCTGCCCATACCTGGTCTCCACTCGAATGGGCTCCTCCCTGGCCCCCAGAATGGCCTTCTACATTGGCAAGAAGTTCTGATTGGTGGAATTCCTACCTTCAGAGAAAAGCTCTACCTGCCGTATCTCATATTTCCCTGATCTTGTTTCTCATGTCCCTATTTTGTATGACAGGCTTTCAAATCTTTGAAGATAGTTACCATATTCTTTATCTGAGAATTCTTGTAGACTTTTACCATCTTGTACCTGCTCCCAGAGATCATGATAGATCTGTTTTGATTTGTATGAAGTTCGTAATCATTACCCCCACCAAGCCTGCTTAATTATTTACATCTTTGGCTAATCTGATTTGGGTAGGGGGGCGGGGGGCACATAATCAGGGAACCAGAGACCTGCTGCAGCAAACTTAGAGGGTGTGTGGTTATCCAAAGGCAGGGACGCTGAGCTAGAGGCAGCCCCCCCGTCATGATCAAGTGCATGGGTTCTGGAATCCACAGCAGGATTTGGATCTCAGACACACTGCCTATTAGCTGTGTGACCCAAAGCATGTCACCAGACCTCTTCAGCCTTTCATTCCTCATCTGTAGAACAAGGACAATGATAATACCACCAACCTCATTGGGGTTATTTGTGAGGTTTGAAGATTTAATCCATCCTAATCGGTCGGGTCATGGCGTGGCACATTGTAAATGTCCAATAAATGGCAGTAAGCATTAAGTAAAATTGTACAGCACATAAAATATTTGTCCTCAGCGCCCCTAAAAGGCACATTGCAAGTGGGTTTGAGCCGATCTTGTGAGGGATTCTGTTTGTGCCTGTTTCCCCACATTAGACCGTCTTCATTACCCTCCTGTAGGAGATTCATGTCTTTTTGGAAGGTGAGGCTTTATTTCAATCATGCCATTCTCTTTGTTTTTAATATCTGCAGTGATCTCTCCACTTGGCATTCCTCGTGGAGCTCAGACTTTGAATTCTGATTAGCCACTCATTTTCTCTCTGATGTTAATTCGTTCAGTCAGTTCTTTGTGCTCTCGCTTCCTGTTGGTGAGATCTGGACCCCGCTTGACCCTGAAGGAATTCCAGGAGGATTCTCAGGGGATTGCATGTGAAAGAAGTCCTTTGCAGTCGAAGGTGACTTCATTTCTAGGTGTTCACAACGTAAGCCTGGGGTCACCCTGGACCCCAGTCTTTTCCTCATACCCCGTATCTGATCGTCAGCGGTTCTTATTTGGTCTCCCGTGGGAAGAGGTCTGGATCAGCCGCTTCCTCTCCTCTGGCTGCCCCTGGCCTCAGCGGTCATCATGCTCATCTAGCTTGCTGCGTTCCCTCTTGCCTCCTGTCCTGCCCCTCGAGTCCATCCCAAGCACAGTCATCTAGGAGACCCTTGATGGAAACTTGATGAATACCCTAATAAAGTCCCTCAGCCTGGGTGGCCTCAGCACCTGGGATCTATTGTCTCACAGTGCTGGCAGCTGGAAGTCCAAAATCAAGGTGTCCCAGGGTTGGTTTCCTCTGAGGCCTGTCTCCTGGCTCGCTGGTGGCCATCTCCTCGCTGGGCCCTCACATGGTCTCCTCTGTGTGTCCTTCCTCCTCTCTTGCTATGAAGACGCCAGTCCTACTGGATTAGGGCCCACCCCAACAGTCCCATTGTAAGCTCATTACCCCTTGAGAGAACCTGCTTCCAGAAGCAGTCACATTCTGGTGCTCGGGGTGAGGACGTCAACGCTGGAGTTTGGTGGGGGTCCACGCTTCAACTCAAAACCCTCCCGTGGCCCTCCGCCCACAGAGGGTAAGAACTGTCACCATGGCCTTGGCCTGGTCTTCTCCTCAGTCTGTCTGTCGCTCTCTTCTTGGTCACTCCTGTCTCGCCACCTCGGCCTTCTCACCTCCGCACACCCTTGGACATACCCTCAGTCCATCATGGCGCCTGTCCTGGAGGAAGTACTCCGAAAACACTTGCTGAGTCTCTTCCTGATATGGGACCTTTCCGATTGTTCCTGTTGGTTTTCACCAATATGAGGAACAGGGTAGAAACTTGCTCCTTCATTCAGTTCTCTTGGAGCAAATCCACCATCAAGGATAAAATCAGAGGGAAATATCATCTGTGGCTCCTCCAGCAGATGGGTGAGGTGTAGGGACTCAAAATTGATACTCTGGCTGTATGCACTGTCCTTGAACTTAAAACTGAAAGAAAATCATGCAGAAAAGGAGATACATCCTAGACAGATGAGAGGAAGGCGTTGACTAGGGCATCAGGGGTGTTCACGTGGAGAAAATCCTTGAAATCTGTGAGGAAAACAATTAAGAGTTTTTGTTACCATTATCATTCATATATTTCAATAGTCAATTGATATTCTTAGTGATACTTTCTTTTCACCCAGTGAATTTTAGTGTAAGAAATTTTAATTAGGAGGCATTTAGGTCTACTAGAATAAATTTGCTACCAGTGGCCCTTAGAAGTAAACAAAGTAGTACACGGCTAATAAATCCATCCTTCATCTATCTTCTCCTGTCCATTAGCAGATCAGGAAAGCTCTGCCATCTACTAGGAAAAAAAAAATCTCACTCAAGTAGAAACAATCTCTGCCAAGAGTAAGGAAGGCACCTGTTTATCAAGGATTTTTAGTTCATTTCATGCTACTATGACAGAGTACAGCAGGTTGGGTAACTTACAAAGAAAAAAAAATTTCTCACAGTTCTGGTGGCTAGAAAGTCCCAGGGGCCAGCAGCTGGTAAGAGCCTCGCCACACCATCCCATGGTGGAAGG